AATGTGTAATTTGAATAGATGGAAGGACCAATCGTTCTTCCTAGTCGGACCTTCTTGGTTTTTTTGTTATTATGAAATGTTGTACCATGATTGAAACTTTCTCATTTCTAGTTGACTTTTTAAAATCAATATAGTGGTAGAAAGAATTCGTTGTCTTCACTCTTAACGAATTTGTACCTACAACATAATAGAATAAACTACCGATTTCCCCCTAAACTTTTCTATTGGAAAACTAAGGACTCAAACTAGTATTTTTTAAACCGATTTACTCCCTACCGTTAGATTTTTCATATATTCTATCTAAATTTATGTTAAATGGAAGTACGTGCACAACATGTGACAATTCTTTGAGGGCCAATAGCGTATTTGCACTATCCCTGTTTATAAATCTAGAGTTTTCAGGCTATTTGCAAGGTGGGTGTTCACTAAAACTTGGGGGAAATTGACATTACCTTTATCGATTTCATGGTTAGTTAATGGTGGATTCGACAAAATCAGTAAGATTACACAAAGTTTTGAGAGTTGAAGATGCCTTTAGACATGCGAAATGGGGGGAATCGTCCAAAGTAGTGTAAGTATATTATATCCCCTTTGTAATTATTTGTTTAATAGGTAGATGTCGACTTTACATGGTTTTTCTCTACTGTATAGCTTTGTATGAGATTTCTTTTTGGTTTTCAAATGGTAATCAAACATATGTGGTCTTAAAGAAAAGTATGTGCACCTCACCATGGCAACAATTGTAATTGTAGATGATGTGTTCAACAATTTATGAGATGGTTGGATACTACCTTGCAGCTGCTCTAGTTAGTTTTGTCCTCCCATATCATTTCTTTTCGAGTTTTCAATGAAAAAGTTATAATACCACTCTGTAGATTCCAATACTCTCCATGGGATGTGTTGTGTTATTTTTTTTTTTTGTTTACATTTTTTTGGTTTGTTTGCTTTGTAGATTCCAATACTCTCCATAGAAATACTTGATGTAGATGCTGATGATGAATATGAAAATGAAAATGAAGATGGTGATGATCAGGGACGAAGCCAGAACTTTGTGTGAATGGGGGCATCCTCAAACAACAAAGCCAGAACTTCTGCAGAACCAGGTCGGAGAGCAGAACCAGATCAGTTCAGTGGGGGCTCTGCTGCTGCAAACCCAGCTCAATTTGAGCAGCATCCCAGCGTCAGAAAAATCTCAGTGGGGGCATCCGCCCCCTAGGCCCATGGTGGCTCCGTCCTTGGTGATGATGATCAAGTGGGATCAGAGTTTAATATGGAGGAAGAGGATGGTGCAAGAGAGGAAAGTGAAAATGACTTTGAATATGTTGACTTTGATTATATGCAGTCTAAAAGTGATATTGAAGCTGTGAAAAATAATAATTTATTTGAGAGGTTTGTGGTTGATGAGGCTTCTAAGGCATCGCATAAAGAGCATGGTGAAGTTTCTTTTGATGAGTACAACTTAGAGGAGTTGGTAAGTCTTGATGAAGATGAGCCTTCAGATGAAGAAGGTATTGTTGTGAAAAAGGTTAGACGAAAGAGAAAAGCTCCAAGGTTTAAAAAATTCAAAAGAGAAACTGACTTGTTCAATCCAAACTTTTATTTGGGTATGGAGTTTCCTAGCATGAAGGCATGCAGGGAAGCTGTAAGGTATTATTCAATTGCTATCAGTAGGCCATTGCATTGGGATAATAACGACTGAACTAGGCTTTGAGTATCATGTTTAGGAACTCCTAATATAAAATGTCCCTGGTTACTATATGCAGCTCATGTAGGGAGGGGGCTAACTACAAGGATTAACACATTTGTGCCAGGACATACTCATGGAAGATTGCAAAAGACAAAGTATGCCACTTCTTTTTGGCTAGCTGAAAGATTTGATGAAGAGCTTAGAGATCATCCACATATGAGTGTTGGTGCATTCATGAAACTTGTGTATAAAGCCAAGAGAAAAGCTAAAAGGAGGATACAGGGTAGTATTGAAGATGAGAATCCTGTTTTTAAACGAATTTATATATGTTTTGCAGCTTTGAATAGGGGATTTGCGAAAAGATGTAGGCCCGTTGTAGGTTTTGATGGTTGTCACATTAAAGGATCTCATCCTGGGCAAGTACTAAGTGTAGATGGAATCAACACAAATAATAGGATGTTTCCACTTGAAGGTCCTACATGTTCTTGTCAAAAGTGGGATTTATGTGGAATCCCATGTCCAATGCTATTGCTGCAATAGGCAATATAGAGCCTGACCCACTTGATTATATTCATTCTTGTTATAAGAGGCCAGCTTATGACAAGGCCTATGAGGGATACATTTCTCCTATGCCTGGTTCAAAAGAGTGGAGGAAAACAACCCTTGTGCCCATCAAGCTCCTTATGTATCACAAGCAACCGGGGAGACCTAAAACTAGTAGAAAAAAGGAAGCTGATGAGATACCAAAAAGGGCAATAAAGTTGAGAAGATATGGCATTGTTACTAGTTGCAACATTTGTGAGGTTGATGATCATAACTCTGCAACTTGCCGCAACAATGAACATGTATTTCACTTTTACGTAATCGATTTCTCTTATTCACATATTTTTCACTTGAACTTAATTTAGTTCTTGTAGTTTCACATAGGGGTGGTTCGGTATGGGATCCTATACAGAAACCGTTATCCCGATTCCCATACCAAAATTTTCGGGAATCCCAATTTCAATACCGATCCCAAACCAAATTTTCGGGAATCCCGAAATAGTTTCGGGATTTCGGGACAAATCGAGAATCCCAAAATAATTTTGGGCTTTTGGGCTTTTGGGCTTTTGGGCTTTTGGACAAAAAAAGCTAATATTGGTCCAATTGGACAAAAACCTAATATTGGGCCGAAGGGGCTTTTGGGCTTTGAGTGTTACAAGCTACAAAAATACACAGAACATGAAACCTCCGATTAACAAACTATAGCTTTCTCCGCAGTTAATAGTTACTTATGTGTATGTAAAGACCAAAAATCAATTATGATAAACAAGATAAGACATTTTATGAACAGAAAATCGAGGTCAAGATTTATTCCTAAGGAAACGCCATCACATAATAAACTTTTCCTTAGAAGAGAGAGAGAGAACCGAGTAGTCAATTGTTGCAAACAACACAAGAAGCCGGTATCAACACTAGTGCTTGTCCTTGGGAATATCCCTTGGTGGAACCTTTTATTCCAGTTCCTTGGTGATTCTGAGAGAAAATCCATGAAGTCGTATTAAGATGCAAGACCACTAACAAAAATATACGAAAGCAGAGTACATTATTTCCATGATAATAAACATAAAACGGCATATCACAATTCATCAAGTCCTCAAGATCACACTTAAAAAATATCCCTACGCAATCATCAATGTCCACTGTCCAGGTTTGGCTGGACAATGATTTGTACACTGCACCAGTGTTTGATAACAAATCATTTTTGGTTTATCTTAAAAACCATGGACACAAAGAATAGAACCAAGTAATACGATAAATGAAAGTCTTTTATGATCTGCCCTTCTATTTGAGGGCTGATTCCAAATTATAGAAACTAATGCCCTGCTCCAACCAAAAGATCGAGACTAGGGTAATACTGAAAAGCTAAGATAAGAGAGAAAAGGCATTGGAGATAGTATCATTTGAAAGATGCCTAGTCATTTAGGTAACACAGTACATCTAAGGCTTCCAAAAGTTAACCCTTCAAACCCCCACCAAACACACATCTCTCATACAGGAGGCCAATTTTCACACCATTACTTGCTAACTTACTAAACCATCCTCTTTTCCAACATCAAGACAAAACAAACGAGCATGATAACATCATAAATATCCGAATATAAAGCATATCAGGTGTAGCAATCTGCTGAACGTTAACACTTATCCATGTTAAGAGTGAGACAGGGTTAAGCTGAACCATTTTCAAGAAACATATAGAATTCAAACGAACTGCCAAATTAAATTTTGACTAAGTTGAGTAGCTACTTGCACACTTACAAACAATTTCATAGTTAACATATTTTACAGAAAAACAAAACGAAAAAAAGAATGAGAGGAGGATTACTTGGGCGATTCTTCCTCAAACTTGTAACACTCAAAAGTTTCAAGTTTATGAAGATTGTTGACCTCTTCGGCCCCTTCGGCCCCTTCTTGTTGGCACTTGTAATTTTCCCCTTGATGTTGATGGTTGAGCCCTTCCCCTTACAATGGGTGGTCGTGGTCGTGGAGGTAGTGATTGATTTTGACGTTGTTGAACTTGTACTTGAGGTGGTCGAGGAGGTGGAGGTGGCATTTCATTTTCTTGTGTTGTATTCTCCTCACCTCCCAAATTAGCCATGTCTAAAACAATAAACCACAAATCATTTACATTGAATTATAGTCTAATAGATAATAAATACTAAGAAAATAAAAGATGAAATTAAATTGTTTACTTACTTCTTTCTAAGCGTTCAAGCTCCTCATAGAAACATAATTCGTCAAGGGTAGGCTCCTTGTAGAAACAAAAAAATTTTCCTCTAAGCCAATCACTAGTACACACTAAAGCCTCAACCATTTTAGGTGTTAAGGAAGCTCTAAAAGGATCAACAACTCTCCCACCAAGACTAAAGGCATTCTCACTAGCAACGGTGCTACTAGGAAGGGCCAATACATCCTTAGCAACTTTACTAAGAATTGGATATTGACCACAATTTCCTTTCCACCAATCCAAAAGATTGAAACCCTCATATGTTAGGCTTTGATGTGGATCATTGAAGTACATATCCACTTCATTGGCTATCTCATTTTGTTGTGCCTCCGCTCTCTTTCTTTGGATCTTCTTTGCCATCCTTGAAGCAACATCAATATCTACCATCACACCCCCCGCCCCATCATCTAGTACAACACTTGATCTTTGCTCCATATTTGAGGTAGCACTACTATTAGTACTACTTCCACTACTACTACTAAGGACCACTCCCTCCTTATATGCATTATACAACTCGGTTACATAACCTTTAACCCTTACTTTCTCCTACCTTATTTTGTCACATCCATAGCCGAGCTCTTCTAGATTTGTCTCCAACATATCAAATTTGTACCTCGGGTCGAGTGATTGGGCCACAAAGAGAATAGGATTCACCTTTTCAATGTCACCCAAATATTTGTCAAACTTGAGCTTTATTGAGGTAGCCACACTTTGCAAAGTGGCATTAGAGGCGTTTGAAATTTGTTCTTCTATCTCCACTTGCAAGGCAATCACCGTGCTAAGTATTAAGTGTGACGTTGGAGTAAGGGTTGCACTCAATGTCAAGGTGGCATCATAAATTTTTTTGAGAAAGTGAGCAAAACTCACCGACCTTTCCCAATCATCCACCTCCGGAGGACCCACCCGCTTGGCCTTTCTTGTCACCCCATCAACCTCTTTCGAGACCTCCTCTTTAAAGTAAGCAATGAAAGAGTCACACTCAAAGGCCATCTTAGAGAACACTTCTTTAAACTTGAAAGCACTATTAAGCATTTGATAAGTGGCATTCCACCTTGTGACAACATCAAAAGGGATACTTGACATCCTATCAAATCTCAACAAGACACAATATTCCCTAAAAGACTCTAACCTTGCCGGGGATGAGTGTATAAACTTCACACAATTTCTTATGGCATCAATCTCCCTACTAAGCTTCGTCATTCCATCCTTAACTATCAAATTGAGGATGTGACAAGCGCACCTCATGTGCAAGTGAGCCCCATCAAGTAAAGAGTACCATTTGACTTGAGTCTTCTTTTCATGTATGCAATAGCGGTGTCATTTGCACTAGCATTGTCAACAGTAATGCTAAACACCTTGTCTATGCCCCAATCATTCAAGCAAACCTCTAGACATCTTCCAATATCATCACCCTTATGAGAAGTAACTTAGACAAAGTTTAGGATCCTCTTATGTAACCCCCAATTAGTGTCCAAAAAATGAGCCGTGATGACCATGTAGTTTATCATTTGAATTAAGGTCCAAATGTCGGTTGTAATACTCACTCTCAACCCCTCAATCACACTTTTTATTTTTGCCTTCTCTTCAACATACAACTCCAAAACCGCCGCCGCTACCTTATGCCTATTAGGAAGTTTGTACTTTGGATTCAAGTCACGAATAAAATCTCGAAAGTCTTCTTGATCAACCACCCTAAAAGGCATCTCCGCTATTATAATCCACCTCACACATCTCCTATCAAGTCTTTTTTGATTGAAAGTGTGAGTGACAACCGGACCTCCCATCCTCGCTTGTGTCAATGTAGGTTGGTTCGGATCCACATTCTCAAAGAGACTAGAACCTGGGCATTTCCTCAAATGCTTAAGAATTCCCGTTGTCCCATGAGTTATAGGGTGTGTCGGTACTAAGAGTTTGCAATGCTTGCATTCGGTCATGTAAGATTTCTCCCCATTATTATCGGTGATCGTTACCCTCTTAGCATCATTCCACACCGGACTTTGACCCTTTCTCCTATTGTCCTTTTTCCAAGGAGAACCATCCCATTGTCTCACTACTTCTACTTCTTCTACTTCCTCTTCCCCCTCTTCCCCCTTTTCTTCTATTTGTTCTAATGCAATATCCTCCTCCACATCCAGATCATCATCCCAACAATCTTCATAATAATCATTATGCAAATAATCTTGAGGTGAGGGAGTGCCTAGTTGAAGAGTACCACTAGGTTGAGTTTGTTTTCGTTTTCCTAATACCGAGACTATATGTGTACTAGATTGGCTACTAGATCCGTCCATCCTAACAAATAAAATAACAATGCACATTAATATATCATAACCACAGTTCAACATATATCCAAATTCCAAACAATAAATAAACTAAATGGTTCAAAAATCTAAGCAGATTCTCACAAAGATATAAGTAGCCCCACCCCCACAATCTGAGCAGATTCTCAAAAACCAGCATGTTTCTAAACTAGGAGAATATAAGTAGCCCCACCCCCACAAAGATAATACAAACATGAAAGTTGGAACCTACAAACAAGAGTTTTCAACACTTACTTGTAGCGCTTGTATGCTAAACCTTTAAAAGCTGCTCGAGAATAAATGATTCAAGAAAAACAACCTGAAGAATAATAATTCAAGAAAATAATTAGTAGAGAATCATAGTAGACTAACATGCTTAACATATATTGTGTTTTCAAACCAATATGGATACAATGCTTAACATGCTTCATGGAATACAGATAGAGCCGAATTCACCAAACCAAGTGGGTCAAAGTAAAATCTCAATGCCTATAGTAAGTTCAAAGTTTACTTCTTTCCCAAATACTCTTCAGATTGGCTACTGATGTTTTTAACCATTTACCCAATTGAAATTAGAAATTATACATCTAGTAAAAGCAATAACAGCTATAACATCAACAACCAAAAGTAAGAAAATTCGTCAAAGAATGGAAATAGTACAAAGAAGTAAGCATCTTATTTGTCAATTAGCTAACTAACAGTTAATTATGTGATTAGGCTATAATGGAATCAGGAAAGCTAATCATCTAAAACATTTTGACTGAACTAAACTAACAAAATCGTTAGCAGTTAAAACTTTAAACCATTTGAAAACTTCAAAGCAGAATCTACCAACAAAAAAAAAAGACTCTACAACTGACTATCTGTTTACTAATCTCATGACAAAATTCATCATAACTCACTCATTCATCTCACATAAGTTTCTCCTTCTATCTTAGCATCCCTTGGGAACGCAAAATATACACACACACACACTGACACACTAGACACACACACACACACACACACACTAATTTGTTGGTCTTAACCCTGCATCAATCATATAAGCAAAAACACTTATTACATATGTAATTGGTATTTTTTTCTACCCAATTCGAAAAATTCTTTCAGAGAATATGCAATCATTTCATATTACAGAGGATTGTTCATATTACAGAGAGAATACATACTATCATTTCAAATGACGAATATATACTAACATGCAAATGACGAATATATACTATCATTTCAAAGACGATCCCAGATGAAGAGACAAAATCGCAAAAGAAAAGAGAGAGAGCGAGAGGTGTGTGTGTAACGGTGAGATAGAGAGATTTCAGAAAACTAAATTAATTACCTAATTTGGGGTGAGAGTGAGACTCAGACTCGGTGTGGTGGTGAGACCGTGAGAGAGATCCCCAGTTCTGTGACCTGACCTGTCCGTGAAAGACAATCGCCCTAGAGAGAGAGAGATAGCGAGGGAGAGCGGTGGTTGTGTGGTGAAGGAAGGCTGGAGAGTCAGAGACGAGAGTATGGTGTGGTGGTGGGCCGGTGGCTGGTCGGAATTCGACAGTATGGTGAGGGACGACGTTGGTAAGGGCTGGAGGCTCAGGGCTGCGCTTCGAAACAAATGAACGGAGGAACTACAAAAGTGAAATGTGATCTGACCTAAAAATAAATCAACGGCACAGATTAAATCCAAAACAATCAACGGTTGAAATAATTCTCTTATAATTAAAAAATTATATATATATATATTTTTTTTTTTCGGTTCGGTATGGGAATACCGAAAAAATGAAATGCAATACCAAATCCCATACCGAAACTTTCGGTTTGGTTTGGGATTACATCCGGAAACTTTCGGGAATTTTGGTTTGGGATTTTTTTGGTTTGGGATCGGGATTTTTTTGGTTTGGTTTGGGATTTTTGGGATTTTTTTCTAGCCCTAGTTTCACATGCATTTCATTCAAATTCCCAACTTTATTGCAGATGTATGGACAAGGATGTAGAAGAGGAAGAGAAGCAAGGGGACAAAATGGAGGAGCAAGAAAAGGCAGAGAAGCTTTAAAGTTAATAGGTGTGATGAAAGCATCAACTTAAGTTCTTGTTTATATTTAAATTGAAATAAACTATTGTTAACATCATTGGGTTTAGGAGGTAAGCAAGATCAAGGTGAAACCCAATCTCGAGTTCCAACTCAAGCTCAATGTCAATCTCCAATTCAATCTCAATCTCAAGCTCAAGCTCAAAGGACGACAAAGTTATCTGTAAGTACACCCTTTTCTATTCTATAGATATAAATGAAAATACAAGAGGAATGCATGTATCTCAAGTGAAGTTTTTATATTTCAATTAGATTTATGATAACGCTTTAACTTATTCTTTTTTAGGTTACAAGAGGAGGGCATGTATCTCAAGCACGATTCAAGTTGCTACTTCTACATCATAACCTCAACCTTACTAAGCCACCAGAAATGAAAATAGGTTTAGGTACAAGATTCCAGCCAAACAAGGAAAGTCATGGAAAGTGTAGTTGATCTCAACATGTCATGCGGCTTTTGAACGGAACATTTGTGCTCTTATTTTGATAACTAAAACCTTATTTTGCTTGTGTTTGATTGAGTGGAATGCCCATATTTTGTAATCGAGATTCTATGGGTTATATACCTTATGGATGGTGAAATCTCTTTTGTTTTCCAACTTCTTAATGGTCATTTTTTGGAATTATTATGACATTTATGAAAAGTTGTAATTATTAGGAGCATTCTTTTAGAAGTATTATGAACAAGTTTCTTGTATTAATGCACTGCTTTGGCGACAATAACACCATGAGCATTTGGTCATATTATTATTTGTTAGAGAAGAAAAAAAATTGGTAGTTCATTCTCCAAGAAAAAGAATAATTTAGCTACTTACGAAGACAACAACACCATACGTCATTTCTCATGCCCGGGCATGTATTGATTGAAAATGAGGGGAAAATGAAATTGAGGATAAGAATTAGCGGGGGGAAAATAGTGGGAAAGTTTTATTTTTGTTGTAGGACTATTTGACTGAACTATTCTAGGGGAATAGAAAGGGGAAGGTCGACGGCAATAAGAGAGAAAAGAGAGAGATTTAATTGTGAGGTGTGTATTGTATCATCCCATTGTGCCTTTGTTTATAGTAGTAAAATAGGTAGAATCCTTACCCTTTTAGGATTATAACTCTAATAGGTAATTAACTACTAATAAGAATATAAGAGGTATTCCTATATCCACTAGGATTTACACAATCACATTCATATTCTAAATATGATTGCAACAATTTTTGTTCTATTTTAAGTTTTTTTGTCATTTTGAAAAGTGAAATGATTTAATTACCCTCATATGTTGTGCACATGCTCTCATTTAACAGAAATATGGATGGAATATATGAAAAACTAACAGTAGGGGGAAATTAGCTACAAAATTAGTTGGAGTCCTTAATTTTCCAATAGAAAACTTCAGGGGAAAATCGAAAGATATGTGACATAGCCACAGGATCCATCAAGGCCAAAGCCACAGGATCCCAAGAGGTAGGGTGTTTGACCAATGGATTTTCAATGTCTAAGTCATTAACTCTGAAAATAGTGTGTTTTAGAGCCTTATGCGTAGCAAAAGCTTACAAAAACAATGAGCTTGTTTCTACTCTTTGTGTCAACAAGGAAATATCAAACTTCCATTCCAAAGTCGAGATCCCTATTTTTAGAAAAATTACTTGATTCAATTAAAGGCCAAAAAAGTTTAATGTTCAGAGAGAATATCAAGGTGTATAATTCTATGCTTGCATTTATTTCTATGGGAGCCAAAGTTGATCAATCAATTAACAATGGAACAAGTTCTTATATTTTTTAAATTAGTGTCAAGTTCATCATTTAATAGGTTCTTGTTACCCCCTGACGGTGAAGGTCCAAAATTTATTCAGCTTTATATATAGAGGTATTCGTCAATTTACCCTCTAAACTTGTAAGGATTGGCCAATTTCCCCCCTCGACTTTAATTTTGGCCAATTACCCCCTTTAACTCTTAAAATTAATCACTTTCCACCTTGTTGTTTAATTTTTTGAATTTTTCATCTATTCTTCCGTTAAGTATGTCATGTGTTATCCATGTAACTGCCATTAAATGGCAGAAACACCATTTTATCCACACCTACTACCTTCTTCATTTTCTCCGAACCTTGTATCTTCTTCATTTTCTTCACCCACGTTTTCTACTCCCCAGATTCTTCTCCGTTTGACCTCGCAAACCCAATATTTCTCTCTGTTTCTCCTTCCAATCTCCAAACCCAACATTTAATTTCAGTTTATTTTACCAAGGCATGAATTTGGAAGATGGTGTGAAGCTCCAGTCTTCATCGATTAATCAAATTCCCAAAAGAATCAGAATCCTTCACATATATTAATATTTTTTATGTGACCCATAACTCCCTAATGGGTCATCTTCCCAACATGATTCCTTGATTGAAAGACATCGAAGTTCTAAACTAGGCGTATAACAAGCGGTCAGGGGTGCTGCCGGACTTGGTGTGTTCATTGAAAAGCCTGGTGAATCTTACCATTGCTTACAATTTCTTTTCTGGGTTCAGTTAGGAATATACGAAGTTGTCATATAGGAATATGATGTTTTATTTCTCCTTGAATTGCATTCTTGGCCAGAGATGCAGCAGCCGCAGTTGGAATGCTCTCTAATTCCAGGAGGCCCAAGCCTCTAGTATGTGGGTCCCTCTACCCATCGTCTTCTACTTTTTCTCAATAAAAAAAAAAAAAAGGAGATTTCAATGTTTTTGTACAACTTTATCTAATAATGGCAAATTTGATTCAGAGCTTCCTAAATCCTACTGACTTTAATTTCTTTATTATATCTAGAGGAATGTTCTCTTTTGTTGACAAATATTCCCAAAAAATGCTTTTTTAAAAAGCAGATCATCAAATTCTCAATGCAAGCTTCCCTCTTCAAACATGTCGCTAAAGAGAGAGCTAAATCAAAACCACCTCCAAAGCCATTGAAAATTAAGCTTTCCCCCTTGGGTTTGAGAGGTCAAACTGAGAAGAGATATGGGGAGTAGAAAACGAGGGTGGAGAAAAGGAAGAAGATAGAAAATTTGGAGCAAAATGACCTTTTTACCCTTTAAACGCTGTCATATGGATAGCACATGACATCTTTAATGGAAGAAGAGAGAAAATTCAGAAAATTAAACAACAGGAGGGAAAATTTACTTATTATGATAGTTGAGGGGAAATTGGCTAAAATTAAAGATGAGGAGGAAAATTGACCAATCCTTACAAGTTCGGGGGTAATTGACGAATCCCTCATAAATATATATGATACCCATAATAAAGCAATGAATCGCCTTGATGCAGTTCATTGTACCAAAAGAATGAAATGGTTGATGAAAACATTGTGGAAGGTTTGATTAAAAATTTAAATGAATCGAATGAACTAGTTAAACCTTTTCAAATAGTCAAAGATAAATCTGAAAATGGTTCTCATGCTCATTGGTGTTTTAATAATGGGAGATTAGGACTTGTTATACAAATAGAGATATTGTTATAGAATTTAAAGATGGAGGGTTAAAACATGTTACAAATTTAAGTCCAAAATTCATGTAAATTTGAAATTGAATGAACAATATAGATAGCCAACATGAGACAAAATTGGTGGTTCAATATTGGGAGATATAGGACTTTTTATTCAAATAGAGATATTGTTATAGAATTTAAAAATGGAAGGTTAAAATGTGTTACAAATTTAAGTTTGGATGGAGGGTTATTAAAACGTGTTCCATCATCTTCCCAATTTTCTTCTTGAAGATCTGGTTTACCAATCGTTGATAGGTTACCCCTGCATTCTGAAGTTTGAATGGAATAACAAGATAACAATATGTACCTCGATCAATAACGAAAGGTCTCTCCACCATGTTCGGCTCATACATCTTGATCTGGTTTTATCTGTTATATACATCTATAAAGCTTAATAGTTCATGTCCAGTGATGGAATCGACAATCAAGTCTATCCCATGTAAGGGATATGCCTTGTTCAAGTCCGTGAAGTCTACACAAACTCATGTTTCGTTCATTTTCTGCAAAAAGACCACGTTGGACAGCCAATATGGATGATGAACTTCAATAATAAAGTTGGCTTCTTAAGCTTATCAATCTCAGCTTCGATTATTTTACCTTGTTGGGTTCTGTTGTTGTGTTTTCTTTAGACGACTCGATTGAGTCCACATGGAGATGATGGTAGATAATTTAATGATATTCCAGGCATGTCTTGAGTGGACCAGGTGAACACATACTTGTTTGCTTGCAAAAAAAGCTATATAGTTCTTTCTCTCGATCCGATAATCTTGATCAGACTCTGAATCCTGCTTTCGAGCTTCATTGTCCTAAGTTGTCATGTCATTTACATCTTGGAAACATTATGCTAGGGTAGCGCCATCATACTTCATTTTCTTCAGTTTTTGGCACTGATAGAAGTGAACATAAAGTACTTATTGAAGGCTATAAAACCGAGTCTCTCGTTAGGTCTATCCACTTCAGCTAGTTCTACTTCGAACAGTTTGAGGTATTTTCTGACACTTTCTTGCTTGGATTATTGTTCCATGATAAACACAGCCTTATGGAGCTTCCAGACATCTCGATATGCGGAGAAATTGGCAGTGAAAACTTTAGCCAATGCTTCGAAGTTTTTGATTAACCGTATTGGTATTTTCGAGTACCATCTCATAGCAAGTCCTTCTAGTATGGAAGGAAACACCTTGCACATCAATGCATCATTGTTGCTATACAAAGTCATAGCATTCTGATATTGCCATTATATAGTTATCCATATCAGTATGTATGTAGTAATACTTAAATGGGGCAGAGTAAACTTCTTCGGAGGAGCAGTGGCCTCTATTGCAGAGGAAATATCGCCTTTGACCTCAACAAAAACCCTGCTTGAGACTTGATTCCAAACTTCTCTTGGAACATCCTTAGAGTTATTGTGATTTAGAGGTCTGCCGCGTTCTTGGTCCTCAAAGGACTCTAGTTCATCAAAGTCGAGGCGTATGGGTTACATACGATAAGCCCTTACAATGCTTGGAAGTCCGAGGTTATGTTTAACTCGAACCTTCAGTAATGTGAGTGACGATCTGATCTTTGTGATGCTTTACGTGCTGATTTGGAATGAGACTCTGTTGAAACTGGATGAGGAGTCTCGACTAGCCGTACTTCTAAAGTAGAAGTGGTCAGAACTCCGAATCCCAAGATCTAAATCTGGGTCTGCATAGTAGTTCTGCGAGCATTTTCCAAAGCTTTCATAAGCTACTCCATATGTACAAAACTAGAAGGATTTCGGGTTGGCTGGCCTTCGATGTCTTCTGGAGGTTATCTATAACAACGTGATTCCTATAATTTGGTCTATGATGGGAATCGAATCTTCAGCCAAGGCAGTATTGCTTTTTGGAGCAGTTGGGTTCTCCAAAAATAGGTTACCTTTGTCTTGGTTGTTAGTGTTGACACAGCTATCTACTCGGCTGATGGACATGTTGAACACTCAATTGTTGTAGGAGTAGGAATTTGGCTCTTAATGATAGCATTAAATGAGGCTGGTTAATCCCTGACCGGACTACGAAGGTGCTTGTATTCTGATCTGCCTTACTCAGGTCCTGAAAAGTTCATGGTCCCACGCCTTGATTTGTATCCAGGCTTGCTATCAAGCCCTTTTGCAATTTCAGGCTATTTGACATTGCAAGTGAAGGTTATGAACAAATAAGGGTGCCCATATTGTTTGCAAATTGCAATAGCATCTTGATAACTGTTAAGCATGTATCTAGGGCTTTTGGTATGTGAGCTAAGCAATATTACTCTTTGTCTTGCATTATCCGCATTATTATTACCCCTTGATATTGCATCAAAAATACCTTTGTAAACCTCACTTCTCAAAAAAAAAAAAAAAAAAAAAAATCTTATGTTATCCAATCGATCTTCTTCAAGTGCTGTGTAAGAATCTACCAAAAATTGTTGGAACAACCTTCCTACTTTTGACAATGTGTCCAATTGAGGCTATTTTTTCTGAATCTGATACGCTATGAAGATTCTCATAGGTACTCATCCTCTTTTACATTGATGACCTTTAAAATCATTGTTCCATTTTAAATCAGGTATATACCCATCTGTGGACGATATGATGGTAAAAAGTAAGGAGAATAAATCACCTACAAAATCTTTCAATCTACTCTGGAAATTATACATATACTAAAACCCAAACTTGGTGGCACTGTTTTTCACTGTTCATGAACGGAAAGGACGGAAATGCCCTCGAGTTCGCTACTGTTTCATTTTTTATACAGTAAAAAGTCGCTGCTCTTCCCGGTCACGCGTCTTTCATCGTTTCTTTCTCTGCTTGGACCGCATATTTTCTACTTTACCTTTCCTTTTTGTTTTTCACCTTCCTTGCTGTGCGATTTTCTCCCTCTTCATCGTTCCCTCTTTTGCTGCCAAATCTTTGCTCTTTCTTCGCAGAATAGTCTTTAGAAGAGATCCTGACTTTAATTTTATTTTGGATTTGGTTTCGGGTCTTCTCCGGTGTGCAACCCTTTGTTTGATTTTATTGGGTGTTTTGTTTCCGGTCTTCTCCGGTGACGAACCCTTTGTTGGTCAGCGTTTTGTTCTCATCTTGCCATCGTCGGGATCAAAATTTTAAGGTAGTCAAGGTTTTGTCGAAGCTTATAAAATTGGTTTCGAGCGTTCGCGACCGTTGGTGCCAGAATTTCAGAGTGTTGGTCTCTGTTTTCGTCGGCGATCCCGGAGTTGGGACTGAGCACGGCGTGCCTTTAAATTATCGTCGGGCAAATTGTATTGAACTCTGGTATCTTCCAAAACTGCTGCATAATAATTTTTTTTTTTCAAATTTGTGTTCGTTTGAATGAAACCCTAACAGTTTCGTTTTGCAGTGAGTTGTAGCGGTTTGTTGAGAATTTGTCGGCTAAGGCATATTTTGTGTTTGGCTTCCTCTACTGACAAGTCTGAGAATTCGCATTAGCTGGAACGCTACTGTTGGTTTGGGTATGCCGTCCCTGCCTCCATTTTTTCACAATTGTCTCTCCGTTTCTTATTTGGATCAGTCGAGTTTGTGTTTTTCTTTTTAGTGTTTAATTTTGTGTGATTTTATTTGCTTGGATATTGGGTTTGATCGGATTACATGCTTATTTTGTAATTGATAATTGTTTTTCAATTAATGGGGTATTTCGAATGAACCAGAAAAGTCAATCGGATTATGAAGAGCATGTTTGTAGGTTGATAAATTATGAAATCTATGAAAACTGGGCAGATTTATAAATTACATACGTGCTCTTTATTTGTAGAATTACATACTTTATTTGATGCATGTTTGTAGAGCCAGTTTTAAACAAATACACCTAAAAATTTCTCCCAGCAAGTAGTTAGCAATATTCCTGACTTTTCCAGTTCTGAAAACAATTTGATGCATACAAATTTATTGCTGCTTATTGTTGTTTTACAGCATAACCAGCTTTTCTGTATAGCATGGCCTCCAATCATCATTCATTTGAAGGTACACCATTCTTCCACTATCTTTTATTTATTTTGATAAAATTATCTCTCATATGTTTAACTTATTAACAATAACACGATTTCATGTACTAACTAGCTACCAGGATGCTTGCTTTTTGTATGATTTCCATTATTTGAAGTATCTGAGTAGAGTTTTGTTCGAATTAGAAAAATCAATTTAAACTCAAGCTTCTTTACAAGCTTGAGAAGAGATTTTAGTCTTATAATAGTTAATAATTAAGAAACAATTAGAGTCATACATGTACTACACATATTGCTAACTATCCTAAACCAAAAGTGTTGTCGTTACTGCTTAAACATACCAATCAGTCTACATTCTGTGAATGCTTATGATGACTGAGCAGTTTAACCCTCAATTATAATCTCATTTGTAAAGCTTTTGCTATCCCAACTAATACACACCTGTAATTTTGTATTTACACCATACTAAAACATTATCTTCTTCATATGTTCAATCAAAATTTTATCTAATGTACATCGCTTGTTGGTGATGGATGTACATATCAAAAGAGTGAGAAAAAAGAACAAGACTTGGAAGTGCCCAAGGACTAGATGGTGGAATCTAAAAGAAGAAAAACAAGCCATTTTCAAAGAGAAAATAATCACCCAGTGTGTGGGATAGAGAGGGGGAAGCTAACCAAATGTGGGATTCCATGGCTAGTTGTATCCGAAAAGTAGCAAAAGAGGTATTAGGAGAGTCCAAGGGCTTTGCCCCACACCAAAAGGAATCTTGGTGGTGGAATGAGGAGGTACAAACAAAGGTGAAGGCTAAGAAGGAATGTTGTAAAGCCTTATACAAGGATAGGATTGATGAAAATGGTGAAAGGTATAGAAAAGCGAAGCAAGAGGCGAAGAAAGCTGTGAGAGAAGCTAAGTTAGCGGCTTATGACGATATGTATAAACGACTAGATACCAAAGAAGGAGAGTTGGATATCTATAAACTAGCTAGAGCAAGGGAAAAGAAGACAAGGGACCTAAACCAAGTGAGGTGCATCAAGGATGAGGATGGAAAGGTTCTTGCTACAGAGAACGCGGTTAAAGACAGATGGAAAGGTTATTTTCATAATCTTTTCAATGAAGGACATGAAAGGAGTGCTTCTTTAGGGGAGTTGAGTAACTCAAAAGAGTGTAGAAACTACTCTTTTTATCGTAGAATCCGGAAGGAAGAAGTGGTTGTAGCTTTGAAGAAGATGAAGCATAGAAAAGCAGTAGGCCCAGACGATATACCAATCGAAGTGTGGAAAGTTTTGGGAGAGACAGGTATAAACATGGCTCACTGACCTTTTCAATAGGATTTTGAAAACGAAGAAGATGCCAAATGAGTGGCGAACGAGCACTTTGGTGCCTATCTACAAGAATAAGGGCGATGTACAAAATTGCATGAACTATAGGGGTATTAAGCTAATGAGTCATACAATGAAGCTCTGGGAGAGAGTCATTGAGCATAGATTGAGGCAAGAGACACGGGTTTCGGACAACCAATTCGGGTTCATGCCAGGGCGCTCAACCATGGAGGCAATCTATCTCTTACGAAGATTGATGGAAAGATATAGAGATGGGAAAAAGGATTTACACATGGTCTTTTATAGATTTGGAAAAAGCGTATGATAGGGTCCTAAGAGACATTCTTTGGAGGATTTTAGAGAAGAAAGGAGTACGAGTAGCATATATCCAAGCTATACAGGATATGTATGAAGGAGCAAAGACTGCCGTAAGAACTCATGAAGGAACAAACCGAAAGCTTTCCCATAACTGTAGGATTACATCAAGGCTCATCCTTAAGTCCTTACCTTTTTTGCGTTGGTAATGGATGAGTTAACAGGACATATTCAAGATGATATTCCTTGGTGTATGCTTTTCGCAGACGATATAGTGTTGATAGATGAAACTCAAGAAGGGGTAAATCCAAAGCTTAACCTTTGGAGAGAGAAGTGTTGGAATCTAAAGGTCTTCGCCTAAGCCGATCAAAGACAGAATATATGGAGTGCAAGTTCAGTGCAAATGGAGGCCAAAACGAGTTAGGGGTGAGGATCGGAGATCAAGAAATACCAAAGAGCGACCGTTTTCGTTCGTTACCTAGGATCTATCTTGCAAAAGAACGGAGAATTAGATGGAGATCTCAACCATAGAATACAAGCTGGATGGATGAAGTGGAAGAGTGCATCCGGCGTGTTGTGTGACCGCCGTATGCCACTGAAGCTCAAGGGAAAATTTTATAGGACGGCAATAAGGCCGGCGATGCTGTATGGCACAGAATGTTGGGCGGTGAAGCATCAACACGTACACAAAATGGGTGTAGCGGAGATGAGGATGCTTCGTTGGATGTGTGGGCACACGAGAAAGGATAAGATTAGGAATGAGGATATCCGGGGTAAAGTAGGAGTAGCCGAAATTGAAGGAAAGATGAGAGAAAATCGGTTACGGTGGTTTGGACATATGCAAAGAAGGCCTACTGACGTTCCGATTAGAAGATGCGACTATGGGTTCAGGGCCGAAGGGATAGAGGAAGACCCAGGAAAACTTTGAGAGAGACCTTAAGAAAAGACTTAGAGTACTTGGATCTAACGGAGGACATGACACAGGACAGAACACAATGGCGTTCTAAGATTCATATAGCCGATCCCACTCAGTGACTTGGATTTTCCAAGTCTCCAACCGAGAAATTGTCCTCGCTCGGGAAATTAAGGGAACACTACCTCAACCTACATGCTCCACTCACAAAGCTCCAACATACAAGCTTCAACAAAAGAAAATTCAAAGAACTTAGCGAAGAAGGCTTTGGTGATTTAACACAATACGTTGAAATGAAGGAAAGCTTATTTATTGATATCCCCGATAAATTACAAATATGTACATATACTTGAGTCAAAATAAACAAACAAGAGGGAGCCTTCACAAAGGTTGCTTAGGAGAAGTTTCGGCAGTCGGTAGAGCCCCAGAAAGAGAAGGCACCGGAGGGGGATCATTCGGAGCCTCAGTACTGGACAGAACCCTAGAAGGAGGAGGCATCAGAGGTTGATCATTTGGAGCTTCATTTCGCGGTACAGCCCCAGAAGACGAAGGCAATAAATGCCTTTGGAACAAACCCACAAATCTCTGATGATCAAGTAAAACCTGACCATTAGATTCCTTCATCTGGTCAAGCTTCCTCTTCATGTTTGTAGCATAGTCATGTGCGAGCCGGTGCAACTGTTTATTCTCATGCTTGAGCCCTCTAATCTCCTGTTTGAGACTCATCACTTCAGCTGCCAATGATTCAACTTGGCGGGTTCGAGCAAATAGGCGTTGGGCCATATTAGACACAGAACCTGCACACTGAACACTAAGAGCCAGAGAATCCTTAACAGCCAACTCATCAGACCGTTTGGAAAGTAGTCTGTTATCTTTGGGAGTGAGAAGGTTCCTGGCCACTACCGCAGCGGTCATATCATTCTTCATCACGGAATCCCCAACGGTAAGAGGACCAGTAGGGGAGACGAAGGATGGGCGCCATATGTTGTCTGGAGAAGGCGGGGCTGCCTCTTCAACAAGGTTCAAGTCAAAACGACGGTCGGAGGGGCCAGACATTTTCAAAGGTGTAGAAGAGAGAAGAGGTCAGACAAATCAAGATCTTAGAAGTGCAAGAATGGAGCTTCTACTGGTGGATATTCAAGTGTGCTTTGGAACTTAATGTCAGCCTCTATAAAAATCTGCACTCGACGAAGCTTCAGAAATTGAAGAGAGGCGTTTGCTTTCTCAAAAGCTGGGCTGCTCAGAGACCACGAGGGTCGATCTCAGAAATCGAAGAGGCGTTTGCTTTCTCAAAAGCTGGGCTGCTCAAAGACCACGAAGGCCGATATCAGAAATCGAAGAGGTTTGCTTTCTCAAAAGCTGGGCTGCTCAGAGACCACGAGGGCCGATCTCAGAAATCGAAGAGGTTTGCTTTCTCAAAAGCTGGGCTGCTCAGAGACCACGAGGGCCGATCTCAGAAATCGAAGAGGTTTGCTTTCTCAAAAGCTGGGCTGTTCAGAGACCACGAGGGTCGATCTCAGAAATCGAAGAGGCACCTACTTTTCCAGCCTTGTCAGCACCTGTCACACGCACACTCAGCTTTGCGGAAATTATGGGCATTCTGTCGAAGATTTCTGGCGAAGTAGAAAGCACATGAATCGTACTGTTCAATCACCCACTTCCCACACGCAACAGTAGCTCATGGGTACCACATATAACTTTGCCAAAGTTCTCTGACAAAGTTGAGACTACTTTTCCAGCCTTGTCAGCACCTGTCACACGCACACTCAGCTTTGCGGAAATTATGGGCATTCTGTCGAAGATTTCTGGCGAAGTAGAAAGCACATGAATCGTACTGTTCAATCACCTACTTCCCACACGCAACAGTAGCTCATGGGTACCACATATAACTTTGCCAAAGTTCTCTGACAAAGTCGAGACACGTGAAGCTTGCAACTCTCACTACATCGCTCTGACCAAGAAGGGTAAAAGAATAGCAAAGAAACAACATTAACAAAGTTTAGACACATAAATTTTGACGGCCTAGCTACCATATTATTACCCACAAGGGTAAAGGAACAGTACCACTGTTAGATAATTGGAAAGTCCCGGTGTGTTAACCTCTGTGCTTCATGGCAAGGTAGACTAGCAAACATGCCCAACCTTTACTCACATTTGAGAAAACACTCCCAACAAGATTGCTTGCCCCAAAATCGAAGAGGCATCGCCCTCCGAATCTCGAGAGCCAGACTTCCAACATGATTACTTTCTCAAAAATCGAAGAGAGGGTAAAGGAACAGTACCACTGCTGGATAATTTGAAAGTCCCTGTGTGTCATCCTCTGTGCTTCGTGGCAAGGTAGACTAGCAAACATGCCCAACCTTTACTCACATTCGAGAAAACACCCCCAACAAGATTGCTTGCTCCAAAATCGAAGAGGCACCGCCCTCCGAATCTCGAGAGCCAGACTCCTAACATGATTACTTTCTCAAAAATCGAAGAGAGGGTAAAGGAACAGTACCACTGCTGGATAATTGGAAAGTCCCTGTGTGTCAACCTCTGTGCTTCGTGGCAAGGTAGACTAGCAAACATGCCCAACCTTTACTCATATTCGAGAAAACACTCCCAACTCCCAACATGATTACTTTCTCAAAAATCGAAGACACCGCTCTCCGAATCTCGAGAGCCAGACCCCCAGCATGATTGCTTTCTCAAAAATCGAAGAGGCATCGTTCTTCGAATCTCGAGAGCCAGATCCCCGACAGGATTGCTTGTTCGAAAATCGAAGAGGCACCACTTTCCCAACTTCAAGAGCCAGATCTCCTTGGATAAAGCTTGTCTGTAATCTTCACACGCAACATCAGCTTTCCAGATACCACAGACCACTTTTTCAAAGTGCTCTGACAGAGTTAAAACTTGTGAAGCTGGCAGCTCCCACTACCGTGCTATGACCAAGCAGGGTAAAGGAATAGCATTATTACTTGATGTTAGGGAGACTCCTATATATGTCGACCTCCATCCCCAACGGACAGGCAGACCTGCAAAAATGCTCAACCCTTCCTCTTATCTGAGAGGGCACTCCCAACGAAGCCTTTCGAAATATTCAGCTTTCTTTCCCCCTGATAATACCTCTGTAAACAAGCTATACTAGAGCAAGAATATCTCATATCATCAGGGTTAAAAGCAAGAGTATCTCATATCATGCTTTTTCCCTGTCTTTTCCTTTGGCCTTGTTCTTACCTGCAAGACAAGGAGAAAGAGAGCAATCAGTCAACACTTGGAATCAAGCTTCCAACCAGGAACTGACTGCCTGGAACCCCTTACCCTGGCATTGCTCTCGAGTACTCATCTTCAACATCTTATGCTTCCAGGGAAGATACCGCATCTGCCTGAGGAACATATAGGGCAAGTGAGAAGGATACAAGGAAGCATGTGGAGACAAGCGTAACAGCACACGTGCCGATACATCCACTACTCTGTCAAAAGCAAAAGTATCCCATATCAGCAGGGTCGAACGTACTCTAGATTTGATGGACTTGTTTTGACCCTCAAATTCTTCAGTCGGCCTTATACTTTGGAGGAAACCAGAAAACCCTCCATCCCAGTTCAAGAATAAGCCTGTGGAAAGTTACTTCTTCAAAAGCAAAAGTATCCCATATCATCTCTTCTCATTTTTCTTCTCTTTATCCTTCATGCTGCCTGCAAGATAGGGAGAATGTGAACAATCAGCCGGAGCTCTGATTGCTTACCTTGTCTGTTACCTCTTTCAGTAGATCCCCTAGCTCGGCGACTTGGGGGACTCCTACTACATGGTTTGTATCGCGCTTGACCAAGCCTGAAACTACAAGTAAGCTTCAAGTGACATTGATACATTATCTTGTGCATCTCCACCAGTTACAGATACCACCCCTGGATGGAGGAAGAGTACTTCCAGAGAAGATTCCACATCTACCTATGAGACAGATAAGGAAAGTCAAGCCGATACCACACTCCGGGACTTAGAAGTTTTCGTGGTTACGAGATCATTCTCCCACAATATTTCCTAATGTCATTTGTACTAAATCATTCACTTGTACTCCCTAAAGGAGAGCTTGAACCTATGTACTTGTGTAAACCCTTCACAATTAATGAGAACTCCTCTATTCCGTGGACGTAGCCAATCTGGGTGAATCACGTACATCTTGTGTTTGCTTTCCTATCTCTATCCATTTATATACTTATCCACATTAATGACCGGAGCAATCTAGCGAAGATCACAAAAAGTGACCGTTTTCACTACCTAGGATCTATCTTGCAAGAGAACGGAGAATTAGATGGAGATCTCAACCATAGAATACAAGCTGGATGGATGAAGTGTAAGAGTGTATCCGGCGTGTTGTGTGATCGTCGTAGGCCACTGAAGCTCAAGGGAAAATTTTATAGGACGGCAATAAGGCCAACGATGTTGTATGGCACAGAATGTTGGGCGGTGAAGCATCAACACGTACACAAAATGGGTGTAGCGGAGATGAGGATGCTTCGTGGGATGTATGGGCACACGAGAAAGGATAAGATTGGGAATGAGGATATCCAAGGTAAAGTAGGAGTAGCCAAAATTGAAGGAAATATGAGAGAAAATCGGTTCCGGTGGTTTGGACATGTGCAAAGAAGGCCTACTGACGCTCCGGTTCGAAAATGTGACTACGGGACAGAAGTTCAGGGCCGAAGGGGTAGAGGAAGACCTAGGAAAACTTTGGAAGAGACCCTAAGAAAAGACTTGATTACTTGGATCTAACGGAGGACATGACACAAAACCGAGCGCAATGGCGTTCTAGGATTCATATAGCCGACCCCACTTAGTGGGAAAATGCTTTGTTGTTGTTGTTGTTGTTGTTGTACATTCCAAAAAGACACGTGCAAAAATTTGATCACATCGTATAAAATTGCCAGAAAAAAGGTCATTCCCAAGTCATGCAAAACCAGCCTTCTTTCCTGCACAAAAAAATGGGTAAACACAATCTATCCTTATTTTATTCATGATATAAGGTAATTAAAACTACAATATCTTTTTTATGAACACCAATCAGCTTCTTTGCCCGCTAGGTCCATTGTTCTTCATTTCGTATGTCTTTATAGAGATTTAATACTCCTCAATTTGGGATTTCTGTGCTGTAGATTTTACAACAGCAATTGCATGGGACGCAGGGAAGCTGTTGGTGATGGAGCAGGTGAAGGTTGCTCCACCTAAGGCTAGGGGTGGGTTCGGTTTAATTCGGTTCGGTTTTTGCCAAAACCGAAACCAAACCGAAATTTCGGTTCGGTTCGGTTCGGTTCTTTTTTTTTTCGGTTTTTTTCGGTTCGGTTTTTTTTCGGTTCGGTTTTTTTCGGTTCGGTTTCGGTTTTTTGTTTTTTTTTTCTTTCAAAAAATGAAAAACATTGAAATTTTAAATTTTAACGTATCCAACACAATCATAACATAAGCATTCTAACTATAATCAAAGACAATGAAAATAAACAACTTGATTAGTAAAAGAAATGCGTGGGTGGATTTATTTAGTGTGTGTTGGATTCTTTTCCATCACAAATTCCCTAAGTAATCTACCCGAAATAAATGTTTATGGATTCTGTTACATGTTATATGAGAGTAGATTTGGAAAAGAAAGCTGAGACAGAAGTAGACAGTGCTATGGAGATGGATGTAGGTACTTCAGGATGAGGTTTGGTTCCGGAACCTTATATGGGGGATAAATAATAGGTTAGGGTTTAGAGTTTTTATAGGACTTTTTTTTAATATTTTGAGCTTAAAGTTTGGCAACACATTGGGTTTAGCACATTTTAACTTACAAATTGGGTTTAGAAAATAATATCCAAAACAAATAATTAAATAAAAAAATTAATTTAATTAATTCGGTTCGGTTCGGTTCGGTTCGGTTTCTAGATCACTAAAACCGAACCGAACCAAAAGAATTCGGTTCGGTTCGGTTTTTTCAATTCGGTTCGGTTTTTGTTCGGTTCGGTTTTTTCGGTTTCGGTTCGGTTTGGTTTTCGGTTTTTTTCGGTTTTCGGTTTTTTGAACCCACCCCTACCTAAGGCCATGGAAATGAGGATAAAGGTCAAATATACCTCAGTTTATCACACTGAACTCTGCTTCTACCGAAGGTCAGCAATAATATCTACTACATACATATAATATACATAATATATATATATACAGATTGCTTAAGGGGAGGGATCCCCATTTTTTCAAAAAAATGGGGACATGCTCCCCACCGTTAGATTGGTTTTAATGAAATTGTGTGGTTGAGATTAAAACACAGGTCACACAATCTCAACCACACAATTTCATTAAAGTTAAATCCAATGGTGGGGAGTGTGTCCCCATTTTTTTAGAAAAATGGGGATCCCTCCCCTTAAGCGATCTGTCTGTGTGTGTATATATATATGATTTTATATGATTAAGCTTTGAGAATTGCAGATTTGTAAACTGAGTAGAGTTTTCCAGGCACATTTACTTCGAGTGAATACATTGTTGTTCATTCTGGCCGTCTTTCCAAAATCAAGCCCCTTGCTTAGTTGGACAAAGTTTGCATCCTTAGTTGTGCCATACCAACAGGTTTGGTGTCGTACTCAATGCTTTAGAACCTTGAATTATGCATCCTCAACTGATACTACATATTGAATCGTTTGCATTATTACTGAATACTTTGTTTTTTAATATCAGGTTTGGGTTTCCCTCTCAATGTAGCAAAACGAAAAATTATCCTCAGTTGTTGTTTATTGGCCTCGCTTTAAGTTTGGACAAACTATGTTGATCCCAAATTCTTTGTTCTAATAAATTGCATTTGCTTTTTTTTTTTCCGTATTTATATTGATACATGGATGATCTAGGCTACTAAAGGTGGAAAAATATCTGAGGCGCCAGAGTATTGGGGTGGAGTCGGTGGACTTGAAGCCCAAGAGGTTTGATGAAGGTATTTATCTTTTATTTTTTATTTTTATTTTTTATTTTTGACGTTTGGATTTGGTTTAACAGGTAGTTTAGTGGGAAAACATAGAAACATATTTTTGCTTAAACATTCTTTCCCTGGCCATAACTAAGAATTTGGAGTAAATGAATTTGTGAATTCGAGTGACAATGACAAACCAGTGCACAAGATGAAAAATGATTCGCCATTCTTATTATGTGTTGGACATGAATCATAGATAGTTAAGTTGTAACTTTAACTTATATTTTTATTTTCTTCTGCTTCTCATCTACCCAAGTCTACAATGTACATACAGCTTAGGAAAAGACCGAGACATCAACCAGTGCAGAAGCTCCTGATAGGACTAATTGCAGATAGCACTACAAATGAGCACTACAATTTTCAGCTTGATGTTGGTATGTGATTTCCACTCCATCTCATCTTTTTTTTTTTTTAATGTTAGTTTAATTTTCAAACCTTTTGTACGTATCAAGTAATTCTCCATATAATTGAATAATGGCCTTTTTTTGTTTCTCTTTTTCGCTCTTCCATCAATTCATTGGTTAAATAGATTGAAAAAATTTAGTTTTTTTATATTCAATACTTACCGATTCCAATTCTTAATATATAGCAAGAGAAAAATTATGGACAAAGCAAAAAATAACATGATGACCAAGAAAAAGATGGTCATTCCCAAACAAGCAAGACCAAAAGATTGACCAAGAAAAATCATAAACACTGAGCAGATGTCTGGTGCCAAGCTTCTGATATGGACATGAATATTTTTCGTATTTGAACGATTTCGATATTATGAACTTCTGTACATGAATATAGCTTTCATAGCATCTCTATCTTTATAACAGTGAGGAATTGCACACTGCCAATCTCTATCTTAGGTATATAATTTCAATAAATTCTATTTTCTGCATGTACATATTATCAAAATATTTTAAACACCCGCAGCAACGCGCGGGCACTTTTGCTAGTTATATATACTAAACGTGAGTTTCCCCGGCACTGTAGATCACCAGTGTCCGGACGGAACTGCCCTCGCTTCTCTGTTTTCTTTCCGTTTGTGTCCCTGTTTTCCACGCATCGCTCATCTTATTCTCTCGACTTCGAGAGTCTTCTTAACGAGTTAGGGTTTTGTTCCTTCGTTGCTTTTCCTAATTTCGGCTTTTGCTCTTTTCGTTTTGCCGTTCTTTCTTCCAATCCTCTGTTTCCCTGTGATATCCGTGCTTTCTTTCTCAGAAAGGGTTGCTGATTTTCGTGGTTTAAGGGATTTTGTGGTTGCCGCGCCGTTGTGCGTCTATTTAGATTTGGGATTTTTTGCGTTCCGATGGTTTCGACATCTCTAATTGAGGTAAAGAATTCCTGCTGTTTCCCCTTTTTTTCCGTTTGGGATTTCTGGGTTGTGGCTGGGTTTTTGGCCGATTTACACCTCTTTTCAAGGGTGGCGTCTTTGCAGCCCGCTGTGGAACAAGTGTGATCCAACTAAGGTATATTTTATAATCATTTTCTTTTGGTTTTTCCCTTGTTTTGATGAAACCTTAATCGTTTCCTTTTATTGTCAATTGTGGTGCTCTCTTGGGTTTTCCCTGTTAAAGGAGAATTTTGCGTTTTTGTTCTTCAGTTGGCAAATCTGTGATTTGCTGGTATTTGCAACGTTGCTGTAATTTTTTTGGTATTTTTTTGTGCTTCTGCTTTTTTTCCTATTCGGACATGGATTGGTAATTATTGGATTTAAATGGATTTGTAGTTTTTGATGAGAGGAGTTGTTGAGGTTGTGTGAAGGTTTGTTTTTCTGGGTTTTATGCTGCAAGGGGTTACAAACACGGAGAGGAGGAGAGGAAACATTAGTTTAGATTGTGATTTAAATTTTTTTTTATATGTTCTTGGTGATATAAACTGTGTGAGTGCAGTTGTTTTAAAATTATTTGCGTGTGCTTTTTTATGGTTTTGCTTTTTTCCAGTTTCGATTAAAATGGATTTTGAATTTTTGAGAAGAAATTAAAAGGGTCGTTGGAATTTTGGAAGCCTTTGTGTTTTTGGTGAACACGCAGACAATCTTGAAAATTTGTGTTAAATGACTAATGTTTGTATATAAAAATTGCAGCCATGTGTTAAAGCTAAAGAACAATGGTTCATTAAGCTAAATGTCAATGGACTAATCCATGTGTTGACTGTGTTGAAAGGCACAAATTTTTTTGACATGTTTGGGTTTCATCTCATGTGGATTAGTGGAAAAACAAAATGGTATTGCTCTGACAGATTGTTGGTCGCTTACAGGTCTGAAGACTAATATTACGAATCGTGATTCTAAATCAGCTTATCCTTAGTTCACAAATACCAAGATTGTTATTTATCTGTGAGTACATGTGATTTATGAATTGACATTGTCCCTGGGTTTTTGTACTAATTAAATTTCTATAATTAGTTTGGTGTTTTCATTTTGTTTGCTTATTTGATTTTCTATTGGACCGCATGGATTAAATTGCAGACAGAGATAGTAAACTCTGTTTCATGCTCTTTTTGGGTTTTGGTTGCTTTAGGTTTGATTTGAAAGAAACTCGGAAGAAAAAAAAAATGAAGGGCGGTGATGTAGAATGGTTAAATTGCAATTTCAGTTTTACATACTTCAACTTAAGATGTGTGCGCTGCAAAGTGAGTTGGCTAAAGAAGCCCTTTGGACGCTTTTTGTTAATATCTCATGGGCCTTGCTCTTTGATTTCAGAAATTTTGTGCCCATCTTGGGTTCGCTTCGAACTTGGTTGAGATTGATCTAATTCGGCATTTCCAGGTGAGTTTTGCATGTTTATCAGCTTATATGGTTTCGATCTTTTGTTTTTCGTTGGATTGTTATTTTGCTTGTCTGATGCATTTTGTTTTCCTGATCTGGAAAACCGTCCCTTTCAGATTTTTGGATTTTCAATCTGATTCTTGGAACTCTCTGTGCAAAGGTATATAAATGTATTATTTGTGTTTTCCTTTATTTTCTTTGTGGCGGAATTTTTTTTTTTTTTGGTTTTGTTTTGGTGATTTGGGACCTTTTTTGTGCATGTTTGGGTTGTTAATTGGTAATGCATATTTTCTTGCTGATTTTTGTGCTAGCAATTTTATTTAAATCCACAGCTGCTTTTTTCATTTGACTTGCTGTGATGGTTATGCTTGATTCATAAGATTTGAGGTAGTCGTGATAAAATTAGAAGAGTGATATCTACGTTATTTTGGATTTGTGAGAGCAATGAATAAATTTTCATATGTAGTGTAGGGTCAAGTTTAATAATGCTGGGACCAATGTGTTTTGTTGCAATTTTAAAACTTTTTATGTTGTTAATGCTGGAACCAATGTGTTTTGTTACGAAATTGATAATATGTAAAGTTATTAGAATTTTGGAAAACTTTGTCTTTCTCACTTTTATCTGGCAGAGGGAACACAACTCTTACGTATATGATTTCAAGTTTTTCCTTTAGAAATTCAAGCTCTATTGGATACATGAGGTATAAGAGTCTGTTTGGGATATTTTCAAGTTTTACTGATTCCTAAAAAAAAGCATGCTTAAGAGTAATCATATTTCAGTTTTTATTGAATTCAGGTGACCATCTTCAGTTTTTTGCTTTGATCTGAAGGCTTTGTTTTGTTCAAATATCAAAGTTGGGCATGAGTTCATATGTTTTTCAGTGTTTTTATTCCGATTTAATAATGTGAGTTAATGGTGCGATGCTGATTTAGGCTATAATTCAGAGGCTTTTCAATAGGCAAGTTTGCAACATGGAATTCAGAGGCAGTTGTATCATTAGCTGAAATATACTAGATCTAATCCTTAGGCATCATTTTTCACTTTGATTAAGATGTGTGCCTGCCTTCTCAGTACAAAACTGGCTTACATATCATTTTACACCATATTCTCATGTTTTTTTTATGCATTTTTACATCCAATAGTTCCAACACTCACAGCAACGCGCGGGCACTATTGCTAGTACAACCTAAAAGTCAACCCAAAAAGATCTACATCCGGAGTAGCATCAAGAAAGTTAAGAGGTTACCTGGTCAAGGTTATTATAAGATGAAATTGCGTGGAATATTGAAGGAGACCCAAAGCTTAACCGGAAAAGCAACTGCTCTAAATAGATTTGTTTCACGATCAATGAACAAGTATAAGCCATTTTTCACTACCATCAAGAAAAACAATGAGCTATTATGGATTGACGAATGTGAAAAGGCTTTCACTAAGCCGAGGGAATACCTATCCAATCCACTACTACTATAAAGCATGTCGAATGTGAAAATGCTCACTGACTTTACGTGACATACACGTCGGCTATCTGAGAAGTTAGTTTTTTAAAATGTTGTTGTACTATCTGTTGGAACCAAAATCGCATACATCCGTGGACGAAGGCGATCTTCAGTCAGACTTGCCCATGAACTCCGACGAATGGAAAATGGGATTGATTATGGGTGTAATTTCCAGATCGGGCTGCCTACATATCTTTGGGAATGGAGAATCAAATCACTGAAATACATGATTGGCGAAGGTGCCTTGGCTTAGGCACGTAAGAGATGCTTCTCTATGTCAACACGTAGACGAATGGCATGTAGAGATTATGTGAGCCTATGTTAGGTGTATATAATAATAGACTAGAGAGATGATCAGAGTCTTTGGATCATAAAAGACTTAGTGAGATAAATACTCAGACGAAGGTTCTTATAGAGTAATTCCAATTAAATCACGAGACTATCTTGGAGGGAATCTATGATAAGATATCCATTTCTCAAATGATTATGATTATGTTGTCTAATCCCAAAGATATCATAATTTGACATAAATTAGGATTTCCGTACTTGGGAGACAAGTATTATCTTTCATGGGTTTAGAGCTAGTGGAGATGTGCTGAACGACCTTGGCATGTACTAGTCTGATCCGGAATACATAGGTAGCTCCAATCTCGTTGGGTTTCTAGTTATTCTAATTACCTGGAGTGCCACGTGTCAGTGGTCCAAAAAAATCATGGTCCAACACTTTCAAAATAGTCATTTGTGTAGTACATATCTCTTGAAAGCTCTGAAGTTACATGGACTTTTTCGTACCAAATAATATGGAAAGGAACAAATACATGAATTACAAAGTGAAATTCCCCCTCGCTGTATTGGTGCACTCTCCCATCAAACAATCAAATAGGAACACATTTTAAGCGGCAGAAAAAATGGTTCTATCCAAAAGATAAACGCCATTTTCATTATACAGAAGCTTGTTAATAAGAATATGTTGTTTTAATGCAACTATTCATATCTTTAGGCCCTGTTTGGTGGCTGGATGAGACACGTTACGAGACTTTAAAAAAAACTTGAGTTCAAGTCCGTTGTATGATGCGTTTAAAGAGCATCATGGACTGAATTCGTAATTTGGACCCAAGTCCAGAATTGGATAGGATTCATAACCCGTTGGTGGACATGGGTTACGAATCCATGGCACGTCCTCCTTTCTGGTTATCATCTTCGTCGTATCTCATTCATCAACACCTCTCTCTCTCTCTCTCTCTCTCTCTCTCTCTTTGTGTCCAGGTTTTACAACTATCGGATGGATTGCTAGCATCGTTCTCGGGTCGTCGAATCTGGCATCGTTGATTTGTGGCAACCGTCAGCCTCTGGGTGAGGGTGCGTCGTCACCGTCGTCAAGGTGTCGCGAGCAGTGGTGTTGTCAGGTCAGTCGTGAGCGGCGTCGTGGGGCGCAAGCAGCATTGTTGGCGGGTTAAGAACGAGCGTTATAGGTGTTAGTAAGTGTGTAAGTCGCGAGTTCCCCATTTTGTTCCACCAGTTCAATTCAGTCCAATCCAATCCTATTGCGGCGGTCTACATCAAACAGCAGACATAAAACCGAACATGTCCAATCTAATCTTAGCCTAACCACCTAAACACTAAATATCCTATCTGTTACCCCAAACGTGCCCTTAATCCCACATTTCAGCAAAGTCAAATTATGATTGAAAATTAAAATAAATTCCATGTATTATTGAGCAGTAGTTGAGTTTGAATACAAATATTATATATATTCCAAAAGCAATCAAAGTGTCGGTAGAACAAAAAAGCATGCATATCCGTCTCACAATTGTTCTATTTTATGGGAAATGGATCATATCTCAGGATTTCTTCTACCTAATCCTGTTTATCAAACAATCTAGGCATTTGAAATTTAATCTAACGGCTAAAAACATGAGTCTACTCTAAAAGTTATAATAACTTTAGCAGTTGGATCAAATTTCAAGAGTCCGGATTATTTTGATAAGAAAGATTAGGTAGAAGAGATCCAGAGTCCCTTTCTTATTTTATACATGATGTGTTAGGAGATTGTTGAGATGAAATTTTTTTTCAGTATGCTCAGAACATGAGATGGTATATTATATGTCATTATAATTGGAGGAAAGTAATTTTTTTCAGTGTCCCTCTAATTGTAAAATAATATGTGATACACCGTTTCGTATTCTGACAACACTAAAAAAAATTCGTTGAGATAAGTAATAGATTAGTATTATTTATATTCAACGTTGCCATCGACCAAAAGTGCATCCTAATCAATAGTTCAATTCCATCTGAATCCATATGTATTATATGCTTAACGTTTCATTTCACCACACAATTATGCATTATCCTTGGTTGGATGAGCTCTAGTTCGATTATTTATATATACTTATGCACATTATTCTATAGTTATTCTCGATTATTTTGCAACATCCTCTTGTAACTAACTAGGACAAAAATATTTTGATGCCCTTAGTACAGTACTGTTCGGCTTTTTCTAAAAAATTTTGTTTGGACTTGTAGTACTAAGGGCTGGTTTGGTATTGCTGTGCTTTGAAAAAAACTGCTGTGAGAATAAGCGGCTGTGAAATAAATCAGCAGAGTGTTTGGTAAACTTTTTTGTAAAAGTGCTTTTGGAAAAAAAAGTAGTCTGATAGTGAGTCTTTTCATTAAAGGAGCACTGTAGCTCCGTGTGCTTTGAAATAAAGCCAATTTTCCAAAGCTGCAAATAGTAGCTTCAGCTTTTTCCTTTGATTTCAGTTTATTCTCACAGCAGCTTCCAAAACAAGCCTTTTTTTTTTCAGTTTACCAAACACCTAAAACCCCCACAGCTTTTTTTCATGAGTGCTTTTTTTTTAAGTACCTCACTCCCAAACCACCCCTAAGTGACTTGTATCAAACTTACGACAACAGAGTCAATAAGAGCTAGCTCTTCTTACTATGTTGTTATGGCATGGAGTGAGGTCATGTGTATAACATTGTTGGTCACATAGAACCTATATTGTGTTATCTTTTGTCTTTGTTTTTTTTTGTACATGCATAATAACGATGATATATATGTTGTAAAATTCGTTATCATGCGTAAAAACATTGCTTAAAATAGTTAATTATAGCAACTTAATTAAGTTGTTATAATTCAAGTTGCTCCAGCAATTCAAATTGTATTCGTACAAGTTACTCTAACAATTCAAATAGTGTTCGTAGACCTTCATATATTCATTAAAACAGAGTTTCCCATGTCGCCGCGTGGGTCATGCCATCAAATGTGAGCCTAACAAACCCCACATCCTCGTAGGTCTTGAGTTTCAAGTTTCAGTTTGTTCGAGTACTAGTACAAAATCAATTGAAATGATTACTTTCTTGATCTTTAAGTTCCAGTATGTTGAAGCATCAACAAGCTGCAACTTCACTTCTAATATTTGAGTTGGACCATAACGTTTATGGCTTGGACATGCATGCCTTTGGATTGATATTCACGCACTGTCGATTGTATATAAATTAGATTTGTTGCAATTTTACCGTATATTATCGTTCGTCTTCTGCTCCAGTTGATTCAAGCCGAATAGTGGCACCAGTAGCGGATCCAGGAAATAATATTATGAGGGTCAATAAGAATAGCGCACGCAGGGCACAATTTTTTTTACCAGAAATAACATGCATATCGTCATTTCATCGAGTCTTGGTAGGTCTGAAGTCATTTGGAAATGCATATTGCACACCTTTTAATGCTTCATTTGCGAGAGTAACTAACATGTTTCAAAACTGCTCCCATGTGAAAGCTTAACAAAGAAAGACACTTATCTTGAACACACTAACAATGTTTGATATCATTGCATCCCATTAATATGTTTGTCCAAGAATGATGATGTTTTGTTATTTACCGAGATCACCATTTCATTCATTTTTTTTTTTTCAAACATTTTATCAAACAGTTGGAGGGCATGTATGAAGCCAACTCTAATCTTCAAAAGAGCAACACCCAAGGTATCCATGGACATTCACCGAAGTTCAGAGGGTCAGCACCCAAGGTATCCATAGACGTTCACCCAAGTTCAGGAGGTCAGCACCCCCTGCCTCTCAATGCATCCGCCACTGAGTGGCACGACGACACTTATATATACCAAACTTTTATAGACCAAAATGTTTTTCTAACCA